TCATTTTACCTAGCCACACAGACTGTGAGTGGCTGCTTTTTGAGTCTTGTACCTGTTCATTCATTTCATAAACGCCAACTGCTTACGTACTTTTGTTTTGGGCGATTTCTTTTCCTATACGGAACTTGACACTAGGTTTGTACTCACACTTCACGTGATCCGCCTGATGTAGATGGATCCATCGTCTTAATGTCAGATAGTGCCGACAATATCAGTCATCACTCTCCGCTTGGCTTGCCTTTCTTATTTTTAACGACTAATCAGCCACCGCTGATCCTAAAAACGATTTTCCATTTTGATGGTCTTCTTCAACAACCATTTTGTAGCACCACACTTTCTCCGTTAATCTTCACTTTTGGCGCCTTTTGTGCATCAGTTAAGATGACTGCGGATCAGGTCGGCACGTCTCGCGTACTTAGGTAAAGCCAGCCATTTCATTTTCCTGGTAACCAGCTTCAATTTAGGAGCTACTCTAAATCACAGCGTTTGGTGAACTTTTAGCCAATTGTCTTATTTGGTCATCTGTTGGACAACCAGCCTTGGTTTGGCTTCACCTCATTCATTATCTATTTGTAGCATGAATTAGCGCCCAATTTTGAGGGCCGGCTGGTTTATCCACCTGTGGCGATTCGGTGCTCCTACGAGTGGCTTCACCCGGAAGGCGCCTACCTTTTAGAGAACGGAGTGAACCTTTTCCTTTGGATCGGCATCAACCTTCCAGCCGAATGGATTCAGGCGGTACTCAACGTGCCAAGCGCGCGGCATTTTGAAGCAGAGCGGGTATGTGCCTGAATTGAGCTGTGTTGTACCCCTCCAGTGCTTCGAGATCACTTCGAAGCCCCTTTTCATTTTACTCCATTCTCAGTTTTTCTTACTCAGATTAGCCCCGATGCCATTATTATCAGACACCAACATTCAACCGTTGCCTTGACCATTTCTAGGCTTCTGTTTCACCATCGGATTCAGATGCTTGGACAAGTCTAATTCGGGCTTTCATCTTCTGTATGTTGTCTCCGCTTACTTTTCGAATCCATTTAAGTGTTAGCTAACCATTCAACGACAGCGTATTTGCTAAACTCCAAACGAAATATGCCAACCACATAATAACCTGTTGTTTAGTCGGCTGGTGGCCGAGTGGTCTGCGCGCATGGTTTTCAACCATAAAGTCACCGATTCGTACCCGCGTAGGGGTGGGCCTCCTCGCGGTATACTCAGCCCGCGCGCGACTGGTGGTGGTCGCGTGGCATCGATGCGCCGTTACGGCGTACAGCTGACACATTATTCATCATTTACCTTGTTTACTAGTTTCGTCCTATTATGCTGTCTCGTTGTAACTCACGATTGGATCATTTTAAGTCGATACTGTTCCGCGGGTCAATCGTCTTTCTCCGTACTTTTGTGTGTTTTGCCACCAGCGATTCCATTCTCTGTCACCGGTCATCTTACCGTAAATCAATACTTCTGACACCCAGTTTGATCGTGCTTCCACCGGCTTAGTCCTGGGGGTTATCCGGTTGCGTTATTCGGTCGCAATATTGGACGTAACATACTCTGGTATGTATCGTGGAGCTCTTTCTGTGAACCCTTGTGCACCCATCCCTTCACTGTAAGAGATAACAACTTTACTCTAACTCCATTATGAGATACTTCCAGTTCGTCCCACTCTACTGATATCCTGGGTTCAGTGCAAACCATTCTCACTTACCGGTGTTTCATTGTGCGGACCATGGGACGGAATTCCCTACCACGTACTGGCGGTTTCTATAATTTTTATCTACATTCGTCGCAGCTAGCATCAGGCGGACAGCCACCACACATCCAAGAAGGCGATATTGGAACTCGTCAGTAGCGCGCGCCTGCCGGATTCGAACCCACGACCTTACACTTTTACGAGCCAGCGACTTATCTCACTGAGCCATGGGATGACTGAATTCTAACTGCTTTATATCACCTCATCCTTCACTGTCATGCATATTGTCAGCGTGCAGAGGACAGGACTGTCTCCCAGAGCAACGACTTCCTTTGTAAGCCACCACCAGTTGAGGCTGCATGTAAGCTGCTAAGGCCATTACTACACTTTTTAGACTTTTCTCCATTGGTGTGCCTCCGTTTTACCGGAATACGCTCAGTTATATTCAACTACTATTTGAATGTCAGTAATATAACTTACTTTTAATCTCATCACCTTCCCCACATTTTCAGATATATGATCTTCCGCAACTGAACACTGAAATCTCACGACATCTCAACCATCTGATACGATTGATTCATGAAGAGCATTCGAGATGCTCCCGAGTAAGTCCCGTTGCTTACTTCATATAAAGTGTTTCCCCTTCGATTAGATAGCCGAAACCGATTTCCAGTTCCGCAATCGGAGCCTAACAAACTCGCTGTGACAGTATAATCTTCCTATTTAATTACTTTGTTAGAATATTAAGGACGCAATTACTTTGTCATTCAATTTAGCACTATTTTGAGACCTCGTCGCACACGATAATTTCACTTGTTTACGGATCTCTTTGTGTGCGCGGACTACTCACGTTTAGATTCCAGGTCGCCTATTCCATGTTCCGTAGTGCTTAATGGCGCAGCTTTTTCATGTGCTTTGATATTCCTTTTAACAAAGGGGTTCATATGACATGTGAAAAGCATCTTACCAGTTTGTATTGCTTGTCTGAAAACCAGGTGCCGCAGCGCTTCATTGTTTGCGAATGTTGGATCGAGCTATGCATTAGTTCGATTCGTAATTGTTGTATCCTTGTACAGTCCAGCATTACTACTGTAAGTCACTTGGGAGCGAAATCTTGTCAGATCCGCATTGTCATGTACACGAGCAGTGGCTGTCACACCTAGTTACTTAGTTTCTGTCGTGGTTTCGGCTAACAGTACGGATAACCTGCTGCTGTTGTGCAATCTGGACCAACCGAATTCGCAGAGCAGAAAGCAAATGCCTCTGGCAAAAGCTCTATTGAACACCCGGAAATTGGTACTTAAAAGCCAATCATAGAGTCATATATATAGGTAATGAAATAATGATCCAGCTGGAACTCTCTGGACTTCAGCAGCTGCTAAATGTCTGATAATTCACTTGGTCGCCGAAATAATGCACTCAAGCTAGATCACGTTCATTAGTAATCTTCATGATGAAAGGTTTTCATCGGTTCAATCTCGTTGGTTCGCCAATAAGCTTCGAACTACGTCAAGGTCAAACTTCTCTGAGCTGCTAGCCATCAACGGCTGCCATGGACAGGCATCATCATCATCATCATCATCATTACACGTTAGCTGGAGGTGGAAAACACCTCAGCTATTGTACCGCAATACAAGAGAAAAGCAAAGGAAAACAGTGGCACGCCTGCTGAGTCCCCAGTGACGGATGAACATCGTTCCGGAGAGCTAACAGCTGGCTGCCGTAAAAGAAAGTCATATTATGCCTAACAGGTGAGATCGTGATTGGAGGGGGATACTAAACAGGACGGGGATGGACAAAGGAACTCACAACACAAACGCCATTGGTGCCTGCTCCTAGCCATATCAGCAAGTGTGTCCAACCAAACGTGTTCACCGTCCTTATTAATTATGGACAGGCTCTCCTAATAACTTCTTAAAATAGCGGAGCTGTCTGCTCATTTGAATGGACTAGGCCCGTGGTGTGGAGGCTGGTTTTTGGTTGTTGTGATCAGCGTATGGTGATTCCCATTCTTGTAGTGATTACGACAAACTGTGTATATTGGCAACAGGCTATGACTTGATCAGAATCTACTCACCTGAGCAGCACTCAAAAGATGTAATCTTTCTTCCTACCGCTTGTGGCCGCACTGTCAGTTTTGGTCCATCGCTGCCCAGCTACAAGTGGACGCAAATCAACACCAACTCTGACTGAAGATGTTGCTGCTCAGAAACAACCGGTGCTCAACACCTTGTTGTAATGGTCAGTCACCATTCCATCTGCGCCCGTAATTGACCCCGAACATCTTAACGTTCAGTTTATCTCCGAGCTGAGCGATTTTTTCGCAGATGCTGCGTTACCAAGCAGAGTGATATCAACCGATAAAACGACTCCTCTGAGGAGGTACAACATCCTGTACCGGATGGGACAAAGGTTTTGTGCGTTAGTTCTGGTTGAGTGCCGCCTTCGATGACGATAAGTCTATCAAACACAGTCCGACCAAGAATTAAGACACGTTTCGATGATCCTTCTGATAATTTTTAGCATCTACTTGACGGCTTTTGATACCTCTTTTGCGTCGGATCTCGTGGAACTTATTTCCCATATCGCCTGACTCCTGTAAACTTGCGTTTTGAAACATGACACTTCCCATCTTCATGTCTCTACACTAACCTCCAGCTGTTCACTTTTATTTTACCACCCCATAGGCAAGTGTGATTTATTTGTCTAACACTTTTTGTGTCCTTATCACACTAGTTTCGTATACAAAGCTCTGGGTCATTCATACAAAGCATGCCACTCCTAATCCTCCCCAATCAGATCGTCGTTATCCGTCCTGGTGACAAGCTGGAAGGTGTTTTCAAACGGTTCCTTGTGGAGGATCGTCACAGCGGCAACTCCGTCTCATACGTTGAATACCTTTGCCACATTCATAAAGAAGTTTGTAGTCTGCTTCGATAAGCTACCATCTTTGCCGCTGTCTGCCAGACCTACTTCCATTGTCTTCACTAAACCGACCATCACACGCCAGCTGGAATGACTCCGATCTCTTCACAACTCGATGCCTTTGCCATGTGGATCGGGATGCTAGTTTGCTGAGTTCTCATTTAAACTCCCCCTTTACAATTCTGGCATTATTGTTTCGTTTACCCTCTGCTCACATCGTGCCTTGATTCTTTTTCTCTCGGTTTACCTCTCATTCCCTTTTTTCTCTGTCTTTCAGACTTCTCTGTTGGTTTTGTCACTGTTGTAACTTACCTATCTTTGCCGGAAGCCCTTGCGCTGTTGACTTGTTTTTTTGGTATATCCCTATACCGCTTCCCATACACCCACACCCCACCTGCCACATATGGCAGACGGGTATGTCGGCTTTCACCTTAACCAACAGGTCTAGGTCAGTTTACTGGCTTATATGATGCAGAAATGAGACTAATTAAAGGGTTTCCCCGCAAGTTCCTTTGTGCAGAGCTGATTATTGACTTTGATTCCTATTGCTGCGTACTTACTGCCACATCCACTGCTGTGTAAACTGTTATGCTTTGTTCACGGTATTTGCTATCTCGCGGCTAAATGCAATTGCTCACCCTATCTTCCACTTTACTTCTGTTCAACAACCTCAGTTCCCTCATGGACTTTTCTTTTCTCATACTCACGCTCTGCGTGCATTTACGTTTGTCTGAGTTGGCATATATTTGATTTGGGCTTCGCAGTCTCGGATAGTTCTGTCTTTCTGTATGCCATCAGAGGAAAACCTTGTATTTCGTTGCTTATTGACCACCCATTCCTCGATGATCTTCTGACTCTTGAGGTAAAGCCTCTGGAGCACTTAATCGTTCTACCTATTCGATTACATTCACTACGCTAGATTAATGCGTTTTGGTCTAGATTGCTCACGAATTTAGCAGACTGCGATTTGCTCCGCGTAGGACACCAATTAAACCACCACCTAGCTTTACTCGTCTCCGATTTACGAGGTTAGTAGGCTTGCCTAGTATACGCAGCACAGCTTCCAACTCATTTGACGAAACTTCCATCTAGAGAATGTCTGGGAGTTACGATAACATTTTCAAGTTCATTACCAAGCAGTCTATCTTGACAATCATAAGTGTTGTAACGAGCGGCTTCCCTTCCGCATACCTTTTATTCAGCTTGGCTACGGCCAACATACATAAGATTGCTGTGTAAAGCTGCCAACTTTGTGGCTTTTAACTGTTTCATTTCAATTGAACAACTATGATCTGAGCACCGAATTGCGGTGAACCCAGTTGCCACGACCCACACCGCAAGAATAACAATAACTGACAACGGAAAGATGGTGAGATTCATTTCAAATGGAAGCGAAAAGGATGTGCGGGCATACGGAAAAAAGTGGTCTGGCCAGCGTAAGCGATTACGATTTAGTTTCCTCTCGGGTGTAGAACCAGAAGGCTTCTTGCCAAAAGCCAACTGGCGGACCTCAGCATTTCTCACCCGGTGTTCTCACCAAACGCGAGCATTACTCCGTAGGCAACGATGGTCAAACGCGGCCAAGCGTTTGACCTCTTCGCTGCTAACTGGCCAGGTCTCTGATCTATGATACACCATTCCTTTCACAGACAGGCTGATATCCCGCTTTTTCCATAGATGTTTGGGTTTCTCAAAAGCCACACGAGTCTTGCTGCTACGCGAAGTAACTTCCTTAACGATGTGACGACCGGAGCTGACACAGCTACCTAAGTAAGGGAACCGGTTCACCATTTCCAGTGGATCTTCCGTGATAGCTAGAACCGGAGGTTTGTCGCTCCAGTCCTGCAGCAGTACTTTGCACTTTTAAGATGCCACGCGCATGCCGAAGCGTGTAGCGCTACACATCAGTCTGTGCAGTAGTGTTCGCATAAAAAAGCAAAAGAAGAAAGAAGGCATCAGCATTACGCCGGTACCCAGTACCGACGCTTCGCTGCTGCGCAACCACCACCAGTTACACGTGGGTTAAGAATACTGCAAGGGTCGCCCGGTCTACACGCAGGATTGAACCCGTGCCGTCAACTTACAAGGTAAGTTTGTTACCTTTAGGCTACGGGCCGGCAGGGTTTGCATAGCCACTGCGTCTTTCCCAAGAAGAGCTATATGGTCCATATACTCCAGGTTCGTCAGTCGGCCGCCTGGTAAAACTTCCACTCCGGTAGAGCTGTTCAGAATCATTCCGACCACAAAGTTGAAGAGGAAAGGAGATATAGGACAACCCAGAGAAACCCGACTCGTCGTGGGGAATTCAAGAGATCATCATCATCTATGGCAGTACATCAGCTGTTTGGACTGATGCTTCGCTGTCATACAACCATAATGACCTACGGTACGTAGAACAATAAGGGAGAAAAGGGGAACTTAATGGAAAGCCTTAATTCCACAAGCAAATATTCAGGGTCAAGGCACCCATACCTTGCTAACAACATGCAATCACAAGCAACTGGCTATCGTGTAAAGATATGGCCGCATTCACGAGACAGCTTCGTTGCGGCTTTCACTGCCCCGCGTCATAATCAGCCATTATCCCACAGATAACTCAGCACCAAACACGTTCAACTGGCAGTCCGACTAGGAGAAGGCAGCAGACGCGCCACTGGTGTCGACTGCAAGCCATATTATGTAAAGCCTCCAGCCATGCACAAGGCGAGACGGACCAACGGCACCAAGTTTCTTCTTCATTTCCTGCTGCTAAGTCAATTTTCGCTCACTTCGAGAATTGCGCCATTCTACATCTGGCAAACAAAACTTGGTGAACGGTAAATTCGTGTCGATACAGCCACAACCAAGGCAGAAGGCAGCTTGATTTTCAATGCATCGGTTCCCACGGGGACCAGTAAGTCGTCGAAAAATGCACTGGGAGCAGGTCTAACGCTTCGATGATTTTCGCAAAAAGTACGCTGACACTTCTTGGAGGTGGACACGAATGTTAGCAGTCGTCACTCTGAAGGCACTTGTTCATTGTTCGAAATCATGTTAAAAAAGAAGCAAGCCCAGTCAGCAAAGAGTCACCAGCATCTTTGAGCAAAGATGCAGGAAGGTCGTCGGGTCATAAAACTTGTTTCGTTTCAGCATGGAATTCTCATGTCGGATCTCTTCCACAGTGGGAAGTGTGACATCTACTTCCGTCGTCGGCTTAGGCAATTCGGCAAGCGGCAGTGTCGCAGCAGGCTGCTGAACTGCTCTTCACCATGTTCCGCCCGACGGGCTAGTCGATGACACTGAGAATAGATCAACTATCCGTCCTTCTCAGCTGATATCTCGCCAACTGTTGGCTTTCTCGGACCCGTGTTCTGGAATAGGACTCGGCTATTCCCAATGGCACTGGCTTTTTCCATCTCATGGGCCCTTGCTATGCACCAATGTTCCCAGTCTATTCGAAGACCCTTTGTCAGACATCGGTTTAGGGTTACGAGCACGCTGAAATTCAGTGCCCATCGGAACCTGTTTCAGTGCTTCAATCAAGCTAGTTGCTACCGCACAGCTCCATTCACAGTGAGGACGTTTCAACTTGGGTGCGCAGCATGCGTCAAAGGCATTCTTCATAACACAGTTGAGACGATCCCATTCAGCGTTCGATTCACCAACGTCATTCATCACTAACAATTGGTGGACTAGTTCGTCATGATATTGTTGTACTGCATGACGTGAATTCGTTACAGGTAAGGTTAAATGATAGACTTTGCTTTGAAGCGGGTAGTGTGAGCGCCGGACGTGTGCGCACCAGAGCATAGTTGGAATTCAGGCATTTACTCGTGATAGACTGGTAGTCTTGGACTTATGCGCCATCTGTCACTGATGGCCATAGGGTCGATTCGGGTCTAGGTTAATGAGGAATTCGGTGGGCGCCAGGTGACGCGGTGTGAACGTTTGTGCTGGAAAGCAGTGCTGTTATGTTAAAGGTTGTGGTCGGCGCACTGTTGCAGAAATCGATTATCTTTGTCTGTTTCGGGTGTATCGACTCCGAAGCGGCCTCAAGTGCTGTTCAGAGTATGAAATGCGACCCACTTGGGTATTCATGTTACCAGCAACAGTCACCATTTCACTATTTTTCGCCACGTGAAGGGGAGATGAGAGCTGTTAATAGAAATCCCCTTTGATATCCTCTGAACTACATTCAGTAGGGGAATAAACTTAGGCGATGAATATGCATCTTGTTTTCAGAAGCTGCTTATTAACTCCAGTATATATTCGAATTCGAACCGCGCACACGCGGCTGTCCGCTGGTATCCAGTCGAGCAGGTTACCTTCAGTATGTTTGTTGTGGGTAATACCAATACTGTAAATACCTTGAGCCATTACCTCAGTATCGCCAGAGACGCGATGAGTGTACTTTACGTGTGACCAACTTCGTGACTTGTAATACTCAAGTACTATCGCTGCCCACTATTCTTTACTTTGGTTAGCGATATCTATCTTGTACTGTTTGTGCTACGTAACTCGATTTAAATTGCTGTTAATTATGGCATCATCATCAGCAGTACATCAGCCATTTGAGTTGATGTTTCGCTTCCCTACAACCATGGTAACCTACTGAACGAAAAATGATAAGAGGGAGAGAAGAAGGACCTTGATGTCCTAAACAAACATTCGGGGTCAAGGCGTCTACACCTATCAACAAGTTACCGTCACAAACAGCTGGTTTTCGAGTAAAGCTAGGATGGAATCAGCGAGACAGCTTCCTTGCGGTTTTCACTTCCCGCGTCATAATCAGCCAATTATCCCATGGATAACAGCTCAACACTCTAAAGAGGCAATTTGACTACGAGACTACAGCATATACGCCACCGGCGCCGAATGCGAGCCATATCCTGTCAAGTCTCGAGTCAAGCACAAGTCGGTCACGGAGACTCCAGTTTGGAATGTGAGACCGGCCAACAGCACCAAGCTTTTTGGTTAGTGACTTCATTTCCCGTTGCCTAGTTGACTTTTGCGCGTCTCGGGTCTTGCATCACTACATCTGGCAAACCAAACAAGGTCCTCATAGGTAAGCAGTGACCGGGCATACGTAGAACGCGCCCAAGCTCACACAACTTATTCAGTCCTATCTGTTATTCTAAGGAACTTGTTTGGCTATCACTGCCTAACAGACGCTTACGCACGTCATCGTTCCCGACATGTTGGTGCCATCCGACACCAGCAATGCTTCGCAAACAGCGATGACTAGGGAACTGAAAGCGCTGCAAGTCTTCAGATAGAAGGAGCCAAGTCTTACTTTCAACTGGTAGGACGGTCTTCACTATGGCCTCGTAAACGTGGCCTTTCAGGCCGATGTGAACCGTCTACTGACGCCGAATATGTCGCAACTTAAGTCAGACAGTCCTAGCTTTTGCACTACATGAACTGACTTCAGTGGATATCGCCTGCATGATTAAGACTAACTAGCTTTTCACCATACAGCACCTCAACGCTTGCATCCTGAGGCTCCGCAAGGTAACACTTCATAATGGAGTCTACGACGAAGTTGAACAAAAATGAAGAATTTGGATAACCCTGAGGAACACCACTTGTTTTTGGAAAGACATCTGATAAGTCACCGTAGACCTTGTTGCGGCTTATGGTGTTCGAGTACACGGCACGTAACATGTTCACGTATTTCGCGCGAGCACTTCCGCACAAGTGGATCGAACGCACTCATGAAATCGAAGGACTCAACTGTTCTCCGTCCGCGGTGTGCGTGGAGGTACTATAACACTTGCCGCACAGTGAATATATGGTCCACACACCCCGACCTGGGCGGCAACATGCGTGCTCTTCCCTGATCTGGGATTCCCGTTCCGCACTGGGGCGGCGAGCGAGCATTGAGGTCAATAATCTTATCACCAGCGGCGTTATGCTACTACCCCTGTGATAAGCACATTTGGTACGACTGCTCTTCTTGTACATTGCCACCATAATTGATTCACTCTAGTTAGCTT